CCTCGTCGGTCTCGAGCGGCGTCGATGTTGTTGAAGTTGGGGTAGCATGCATGGTTGGTCTTGGCTTGGACGTCGTTGATGACTTTGTAGCTTCACCGGAAGAGCGAGGGGTACACCCCGTGGGCTAGATGTTGGAAGGAGGAAAGGGAATAGATAGACGTGCGACACATGGAGTGCTCCATACACACCGCCGCAAAAAAGCGGGGAAGTCACCACCTCGTGTGTTGCAACGACACGGAGTGCTTCCACCGGCGACAATGAAATCTCCACCTCGTGTCGCATTCTTGGAGGCTTTGTCTCCTTGAATGTACTAGGGAAAGGTGCGTTTAGGCACTTGTTGATGGTGATCTTGCAGAGCATTTGTGCGAAACAACAGAGCCTAGTGCAAAGCAATGGTTGTTCTCTATGATTGACTCGCTCTCACACGATTTGTTTGTGAAGCTGATGGTGACGTTGTGGGCAATTTGGTGGGCAAGGAGACAGGTGATCCATGAGGAAATCTATCAGACACCTTTCGCCACTCACCAGTTTATTAACAGATTCATAGCGGAGCTAGAACTAGTTCCAACGAGAGGAGCAACGAACCAGGTTGCAGCAAGGAACACTGCTCAAAGGTCAAAAGCACCACTGTCGAGATTTGCGAAGATCCATGTTGATGCTAGCGTGCCTAGAGCTGGCACGGGGGGCTCGGCTACGGCAGTATGCTGGGACGCCAGTGGTATGTTTCTGGGCAGCTCGGCTGTGGTCATCTATGAAGTCACTGACGTTGCAACTTTGGAGGCGATTGCATGTCGTGGGGCCTTATCACTAGTTGAAGATCTCCTGCTCCATAATTTTGTGGTTGCCTCCGACTCAAAAATAGGTGATCAGTGATATAGACAAGGGCATAAGCAGCAGCAATGCATGTATAATCAGACAGATCAAGCAACGACCGATAAATGTTAATTGCATTTTCTCGCTTGAAGGCCGAGCAAGGCCGAGCAACGAATAAAGATGCAGATATTCTAGCTAAATTCTTGAATTGTTTGGACGAGGGGCGCCATGTGTGATTCCAACCCCACGATCCACTTTGTATTCCACTTCATGTGTTTTTGATCAATAAGTTTAGCTTTATCCCTAAAAGAATGTAATCTTGCTCCATGCGTTAAAATGTATATATCATCTGTGTAGATTATCATCCAAACAACTCTTTTTTAAGGATTATTTATTCTCATTATTTTTGTACTATATATAGTACAAAATTTCGTCAAACAAGCCGGCGCATGCCCGGATGTCCACAGATATTTTATGAGGTCTGTTTAATGATCTGCTTGCTCCGTCCTTCAAAGAGTGTATTTCCAACTTTGAAGGATCAAACTATCTCAAAGTTTTGGTCGAGTTTGTGCAAAAAATATATCAATGTTCATAAAACCAAATAAAAGTACGAAGAAAATATATTTTATTATCAATCCAATGCTACTAATTTGATGGCATAAATGTTGACGTACTGTTGTAAAGCTTTGGAAATTTCTCGCCAAGGAGGATATCTCCACTCCACGCGATGTGGCGTGGCGTCTGTTAAATAGTCCTTATTTTCTCCACTTTTGTCTTCGGTAGTCGACTTGTTTCCCCACCAGCACCATCACCACCACCGCCATCAATCCATCACCACCGTGTTCGATCGATGGAGTGGGTAGCAGAGCAGCAGGATCTGGGTGGCCTCGGGCTCGCCGGCATCTGCCGCGAGGTCGCCCGAGTACTCTGCGCCACCATCTTCAACTCCTGCTTAGGTCTCCTTATGCTGCTCTCCCTGATCTTGCCCTGCGCCAACCACGTCCTTAGCTCCCGCGTCGACTCCAACCAAGGCAGCCTCCTCCGCCTCGCTGCGTACTGGGCCGCCTTACTTCTCTTCAAGCTCCTCTACTTCGTTCTCTGCTACGCGCTCACGCTCTTCTGCACCTGCGCCTACGTGTTCCTAGTCGCCTCTCTCTATTGCACCGGCGGCGATTTCGCCGCCGCCAATCGCGGCCTCCACGCCCTCCCACTCGATCCAGGCAGGCGGCTTCATCGCACCTTCTTCTTCCTTGCAATCCCTCTACTCATCACATTCTACGCCGGCGCGCAAGCCTGGATCGCGCTCCAGCACCTGGACGCTCCGCGCGGGGTCATCCTGCCGCTGCAGCTGATGGGCGGGGCCGCGTGCCTTGCCGGCGCCGGCTACGTCACCGTCGTCTGCCAGCTGGCCTGCGTGGTCTCCCTCCTCGAGGACCCCAGGCTCCTCGCCGCCGTACGCAGGAGCCGCGCGCTCCTCGCAGGCAAGTTCTGGCCGGCGGCGGCCATCTTCCTCACGCTCGACGCCTGCATCGTGGCTCTGCTCATGGCCTACACGCCTCTGGTGGTGGTGATGGACGACGCGCTGGGGCTGGGTATCGCTTTCCCGCTGGCTGCGGGAGTTGGGATGACAGTCGCTCTGTGGGCGGCGCTCGTCGTCACGCTGGTGGCGCAGCCGGTAGTGTACCTGGTCTGCAAAAACCACCACCACAAGATCGTTGACAAGGTCCACCTCAACTACGTCGGAGACTACGAGCGGCTCGCCGTCGACGGCGACAATGCTGGCGTGGAGCTGCAGCCGGCGCCGCAGGTCACTACAACTGCCTAGTCCAGTCCAGTGAGTCCACGGCCCCCAGACCCTAGCCTGCAGTGCTACTCCTCTATTCATTCTTGGATTTAAGAGACAAGTACTTAAAAGTACTCCGTACTACCTATCATGTGTTTTAACTGAGACAATTAGTAAGTGCGGTAGCTACCTCCATCACAGTTTGAATGTATTATATTAGTCGTATGAAATTCTACATCTCATCCGATTCCGATTATGGCACATCATGTGTGTTTGATTCTTGTATATGTTTGTGTGACACTGTGAGCTAGTATAATATAATTGTTGAGCCTATTAACTAGGAGTACTCCCTCTGTTTTTATTTACTCCGTATATTAGTTTTGACTGAGTCAAATTTTATAAAATTTGATCAAGTTTGTAAAAAAGGATAAAAACATTTACACTAGGAAATCTATATGATGTGAAACTATATTCAATAATGAATCTTGTAGTATTGATTTGGTGGTACAGTTTTCTACAAAGTTGATGAAAGTTTATAAATTTTGACTTTAGGCAAAGGTATTTATATGCATAGTAAATAAAAATGAAGGGATACGTGCATTATTTGTCCCATCTGTCCCATTTTCGCTTCGTCGAGAAAATTCATACATGAGTAGAATATATATATATACTCGGCTAGTTTGGGAATTGTCTGATTTTTAAAATATGTTTAGACATACGTACATGGATTCGAAAGGGAAAATATCGTGTGTTCATGGCTAAAACGGCATGGATGTCGTTTTGCAGTGGCAGAAAGATAAGCACATGCTAGTTGTCCGGTCCGGTCCGATATTTGCGTATCGATGCGTGCTCCGTCCTCCTTGATCATCAACCGCTTCAGCGTTTGGCCACCTTCCATCATGCCTCTCTCCATCTCCGGTCGCTCATAGTATGCGCTGCTCATTGGCATTATCAGTAGCGGGTTTCCGTTCCCGGCAATCGTACGTCGACTCAAGATAGCGAGAAGGTCAAATAGTCAGGACGCGGTTGGCCGGCGAACCTGCTCATGTCGAAAATGATGAGAAGATGAAAACCGTGTTGTGATGGTACAGAAACTAGCTCGACCAGTCTAATGCTACTACTTGCGCGCGCATAGGTGCAACCGAGGCCACATTTGTAAAAATTGCACAAGGCTAGTTGGTGACCGATGCTACCTAGAATACTCCTTTCTTTTTCCCTACTACACCAACCTACACTGACCATTAATTGGGCATGTTTAATTACTACCTCCGTCTTAATTTATCGGTTCCCTTCATATTTTATGTCAAATTTTGATTTAAAATTTAACCAACAAAATGTTAATGCATGTCGTAAAAAATAATATAACTGAAAACCATGTTTAAATATGAATCCATCGGTATAATTATTAGTGACATACATTAATATTTTATTAGTTAAATCTTTAGTCAAAATTTGATACACATTACGTAGGGAACTAATAAACGAGGACGAAGGTAGAGTAGACCGAGGGATTCTCCATCCAATGCTCGTTTTTGGAGTTGGAAAATGTAACGCTGGCGAATAACATTTACGTGGTGGATGGGTTCCATGATTGGTAGAGAGGGCGCTCCGGCCTCTCTTCCATCCGGAAAAAAAAAGACAGATGGGTGATTAATGCTCACGGAAGTGTGGCTGTGTATCATGGTGGTGTATGCATCTCCTATCGTGTAAGTGTGGTGGTGCGTTTCGTAAGAATCAATGATGGCGGTGGCAAGCTTTATTTATGGTGCGCGTCGCAGAGGCAAGCTTTAATTATGGTGCGCTCCCTCCCATGTGGCCACGAGCCCATGCCATTCCATTTCGGTGCAGCCGTGCAACAGAGGGTCTGAGACGATAGACCAGCTAGCTAGATGAGGAAGCCTAATTGCATGGGTGAATAATAAGACCACCTAATTGCATGTTTCATTAAAAACCCCAAAAAAATCAGAGATGCACACACACACGTACGTACGTTAATGGAAGTCGATTTTGCCATTGCAAATGGACGCGGTGAGGAGCTCTCTCTGCCTCGCTCGTGAGGAGCACTTCCTTCGATGTTCATTCCCTTTCCCCTGTTCCTCGCAGTCTGCTCATTCCCTTCAGTAGCAGTCAGTAGCTCACTTTCCTTCCCCAAACCACCACCACCACCCTACGTGCTCGAATGCTCGATCGATCCATGAAGTGGGCACCCGACCAGCAGGCTCTCGGCAGCCTCGGCCTCGCCGGCGTCTGCCGGGAGACCTGCCGTGTGATCCGCCGCGCCATGCTCCCCAACTTGGTCAACCTCGGTCCCCCGCTGCTCTCCGCCCTCTTCCTCGCCAGCTCCGCCGCCATCCGCGCCGTCTGCTCCCGCGTCCTCTCCGACCTCCACGACCACGACGGCCCCAGCCTCCTCCGCCTCGTCACCGACCGGCTCGCCTACTTCCTCCTCGTGGCCGTCTCCATCGGCGTCGTCCTCCTGCTCGTGCTCCTCTGCACCACCGCCGCCTACGTCTTCTGCGTCGCCTCCCTCTACTGCACCGGGGGCGACCTCCGCGTCGCCGATCGCGTCCTCAGGGGGTTCCCCACGGTCCCGCTCACGCGGCTGGTCTGCACGTTCATCTTCGCCGCAGGCCCATTTCTTGTGATCTGCACCTCCCTCTTCGTCGCCGGCTTGTTCCATCCCCAGGAGCTGCTGGGCGCTCCGAACAAGATCATGCCGACGATGCACCTGCTCGCATGGGCCGCGTGCCTCGCCGGCGCGGCCTACTTCGCCGTGGTGTGCCAGCTGGCCTGCGTGGTGTCCCTGCTCGAGGACGCCATGCTCTTCCGTGCCCTGCGCAAGAGCCGTGCGCTCCTCGCCGGCAAGTTCTGGGCGGCCGCCGGCGTATTCGTCACGCTCGACGGCTGCATCTTCGCCGTGCTGGCGGCTTTCCCCGTTCTGGTGGTGGACGATGCGCTGGGCCTCGGCCTCGGGTTCCAGCTGGCCGCCGGGGTGGCGATGGCGGTGGCTCTGTGCGCGGCCGTGCTGTTGACGCTGGTGGCGCAGCCGGTGGTCTACATGGTGTGCAAGAACCACCACCACGAGGTCGTCGACAAGGTTCACCTCGACTGAGTACGAGCGGCCGTCAGTCACACCGGCGTGGAGCCGCTGCAGCCCGTCTGAGACGAAGCAGATTGCAGCAACTCGGCCTGGCTAGCTGCATCCTGTCCACGATTCCACGGTGGTAGCTACGTGAAGAAGATTTGACTTAACTAGGAGTACAGTAGATTAGTAGTAGTAGTAGTAAGTTGCTGTAGTCAAGTTTATGTGTGATTATCACTGCACCGGATATGCATGCTTGGGATTGTATATGTGTGATGGTTTGTGAGACTCGAGTAGGAGTGCTTGGTAGCAGCTAGTACAACTGTTTAAGCTTGAGAAATTTGCAGAAACCGTTATTTTGTTCTTTTTCTTGGATATGGGAAGAAGAATGTACCGTGGTCTTGGACGGGAGGACCAGGGGATAGGGCTCCAAACGACGAGAGAAGATTTTCTACCATGCACGGGATCTCCCGTGCATGCATCCATCACATCTTTTATTACTGCGTGGGACCATTTTTATAGTGTTTTCTCTCATCTTAACATACATTCACATGCTATTATCTACTGATTAAGTTTCATTCAAATAAATAGATACCTGATGCATGTTGAAATAAAAGTTTGATTTATATTCTGTTTGCAAAATTGTGTTTTTCCTGACAAGGTCTTTAAAACAAGACCAATATTGAATATATTTTTAGAAATTATTTTTTTGACAACTAAATCACCATGCTTCAAACTTGTTTCATACAAATTTATTAATTTCATGTGAAAAAATTAACAATGTTTTATTGTGCGCAAAAAATAATCTTATTGTTTCACTATGGCTCCCCATGTTCCGTTGCATTTCATAATGTCACATGTGTGCCAATGTGTATCAAACCGATTCTTGGTAATGTATAAAAGTTTGTAAATATTAATATATTTTATTGCAACAAAACTTTGAACTTTTCTAGTGTTTAACGAAACATAGCATAGTTATGTGTACTTTTATAGTGTTTCACCATGTTTCAGAATTTAAATTTATATTTTTCTGAAATATATTCAAAAGTGGTCTCTTTTCAAAGATCTCGTCGTAAAAAAATAAATATGAAAACGGAACATAAAATATACTTTTGGTTTAAAAGATAAAATAGATTTAAACTTGAAAATAAAATGAAAAGGCATGGAATGGTGGAGCATAGGTGGTACAATATGTTTGCATGTGATGAGAGAAAGATCTAACTAACTGAGCATCATAAATGCATGACATTGGATCTCCAAGCAAAATCAATGGCGCGTGCATGCACGGTACCTCCCGTGCATGAGAGATTAGCTTTTCTCTCCAAACGACCAACCCGTTTATAGAGGAAACAATACGTACCTGGCTAAGCCTTGGTGCTGATGGTTTTCCAATATTGAGTTTTATTCAAAAATTTGAAATCATAATTAAACTAGCGGGTGGAATGTTGTCTGTTAAATAATTTGTGATTCTGTTGTGTGCCGTGGTCGTCACCGTCGGAGGAGGAGGAGAGGATGATGAGCCATTTGAGCTGTCGGACGGCCCGATCCTGCTGCCACTTGAGCTTCGCTAGCCGAGCCACCTCCGTCGCTTTCTCCTCCTCACGCTCGGACTGCTCGAAGGCAAGCCGGAGCACCTTGGCGTTCTTTCGGCGGAGCCGTTGATCGTCCGTCTTCGCCGCCATAAGCAACCGGCGGTAGACCCAAGCGAGGAGGCGGTCGTCCTCGTTGTGATCCATCGAAAACCCACATCGGCGGTGGGTAGATTTCTCCGCCGCATCCCTCTCCCTTGCCTGCTGCCTCTCGCGGTGGGCCGTGCACCTTCTATTCCGGCATGCACGTTCGTAGCGGCGGTGCGGGTACTAGCACCCACCACTGCCCGGCGGGGGCCAGCACCGGCGTCCTCGCTGCGCGATAGAGGAAAGGCGAGGCGACAGATCCAAAACTGCCCCCATGTCTACCTTGAACCTCTCGAGGACAATACGGAGGGCCGGCTCCTCGTCAATGTCGAGGTCGAAGTCGGAGCGGCTGTGGAGCTCGACATGGTGGCCGGAGTTTTCGGATTGGATTGACGAGAAATCGGAGGAGGAGAAGAGACGGAGAGGCGAGCGGAGTAATGTAGAGTTTTCGGATTTGAGATATTTATGGGGACTGAGTGGGTTCGGGGTGGGCCCGACTGATGTGGCGGGCGCGCCCGTGCCACCCTATATCCGCCCTATATTTAGGCTGGATATGAGGTGTGTTGGGGAACGTAGCAGAAATTCAAAAATTTTCCCACGTAACACCAAGATCTATCTATGGAGAGACCAGCAACGAGTAGAAAGGGGAGTGCATCTACATACCCTTGTAGATCACTAAGCGGAAGCGTTCAAGTGAACGGGGTTGATGGAGTCGTACTCGTCGTGATTCAGATCACCGATGATCAAGTGCCGAACGGACGGCACCTCCGCGTTCAACACACGTACAGCCCGGTGATGTCTCCCACGCCTTGATCCAGCAAGGAGAGAGGGAGAGGTTGAGGAAGACTCCATCCAACAGCAGCACAACGGCGTGGTGGTGGTGGAGGAGCGTGGCAATCCCGCAGGGCTTCGCCAAGCACCATGGGAGAAGAGGAGGAGGGAGAGGGGCAGGGCTGCACCAACGAGAGATCAAATCGCGTGTTATGGGCAGCCCCTAGGCCTCATATATATAGGGGAAGGGGAGGGCTGCGCCCCCTTTAGGGTTTCCCACCCCAAGGGGCGGCGGCTAGCCTCCAGATGGCATCTGGTGCGGCGGCCAAGAAGGGGGGGAGGAGTCCATCCTCCCCAAGGCACCTCGGAGGTGCCTTCCCCCTTGAGGACTCTTCCCTCTAGGGTTCCCTAGGCGCATGGGCCTCTTGGGGCTGGTGCCCTTGGCCCATGTAGGCCAAGGCGCACCCCCTATAGCCCATGTGGCCCCCCGGGGCAGGTGGCCCCACCCGGTGGGCCCCCAGGACCCTTCCGGTGGTCCCGGTACAATACCGATGATCCCGAAACTTGTCCCGATAGCCGAAAGAGGACTTCCTATATATAAATCTTTACCTCCGGACCATTCCGGAACTCCTCGTGACGTCCGGGATCTCATCCGGGACTCCGAACAACATTCGGTTACCACATACAAGCTTCCTTTATAACCCTAGCGTCATCGAACCTTAAGTGTGTAGACCCTACGGGTTCGGGAGACATGTAGACATGACCGAGACGTTCTCCGGTCAATAACCAACAGCGGGATCTGGATACCCATGTTGGCTCCCACATGTTCCACGATGATCTCATCGGATGAACCACGATGTCAAGGACTTAATCAATCCCGTATTCAATTCCCTTTGTCTATCGGTATTTTACTTGCCCGAGATTCGATCGACGGTATTCAATACCTTGTTCAATCTCGTTACCGGCAAGTCACTTTACTCGTTCCGTAACACATCATCCCGTGATCAACTCCTTGGTCACATTGCGCATACGATGATGTCCTACCGAGTGGGCCCAGAGATACCTCTCCGTTTACACGGAGTGACAAATCCCAGTCTCGATCCGCATAAAACAATAGATACTTTCGGAGATACCTGTAGTGCACCTTTATAGTCACCCAGTTACGTTGTGACGTTTGATACACCCAAAGCACTCCTACAGTATCCAGGAGTTACACGATCTCATGGTCAAAGGAAGAGATACTTGACATTGGCAAAGCTCTAGCAAACGAACTACACGATCTTTGTGCTATGCTTAGGATTGGGTCTTGTCCATCACATCATTCTCCTAATGATGTGATCCCGTTATCAACGACATCTAATGTCCATAGCCAGGAAACCATGACTATCTGTTGATCACAACGAGCTAGTCAACTAGAGGCTCACTAGGGACATATTGTGGTCTATGTATTCACACATGTATTACGATTTCCGGATAATACAGTTATAGCATGAATAAAAGACAATTATCATGAACAAGGAAATATAATAATAATACTTTTATTATTGCCTCTAGGGCATATTTCCAACAGTCTCCCACTTGCACTAGAGTCAATAATCTAGTTCACATCGCCATGTGATTAACACTCACAGGTCACATCGCCATGTGACTAATACCCAAGAGTTTACTAGAGTCAGTAGTCTAGTTCACATCACTATGTGATTAACACTCAATGAGTTTTATGTTTGATCATGTTGCTTGTGAGAGAGGTTTTAGTCAACAGGTCTGAACCTTTCAGATCCGTGTGTGCTTTACAAATCTCTATGTCATCTCCTAGATGCAGCTACCACGCTCTATTTGGAGCTATTCCAAACAACTGTTCTACTTGGAGCTATTCTAAATTATTGCTCCATTATATGTATCCGGTCTCTCTACTCAGAGCTATCCGGATAGGTGTCAAGCTTGCATCGACATAACCCTTTACGACGAACTCTTTTATCACCTCCATAATCGAGAAAATTCCTTAGTCCACTAGTTACTAAGGATAACTTTGACCGCTGTCCTGTGATCCATTCTTGGATCACTCTTGTACCCCTTGACTGTCTCATGGCAAGGCACACTTCAGGTGCGGTACACAGCATAGCATACTGAAGATCCTATGTCTTAAGCATAAGGGACGACCTTCGTCCTTTCTCTCTATTCTGCCGTGGTCGAGCTTTAAGTCTTAACTTCGTACCTTACAACTCAGGCAAGAATTCCTTCTTTGACTGGTCCATCTTGAACACCTTCAAGATCATGTCAAGGTATGTGCTCATTTGAAAGTATTATTAAGCATTTTTGATCTATCCTTATAGATCTTGACGCTCAATGTTCAAGTAGCTTAATCCAGGTTTTCTATTGAAAAACATCTTTCAAATAACCCTATATGCTTTCTAGAAATTCTACATCATTTCTGATCAACAATATGTCAACAACATATACTTATCAGAAATTCTATAGTGCTCCCACTCACTTCTTTGGAAATACAAGTTTCTCATAAACTTTGAATAAATCCAAAATCTTTGATCATCATCAAAGCATACATTCCAACCCCGAGATGCTTAC